TATTCCCCATCGGTTATCGGTTCTTCGAACTATATGGCCGGCCCATTGCCACTTCAGCTTACTAATCCGTTGGGCTATGTCGATCACTCTGGTTCTACTGCGGATATCTTCATTTCTAAGTTTATCACGCAGAGAAACTCCGAGCATAGCCCTCTCCATAGCTGGCTGAGCGACCTTGAGCGTCCTCATACGGCCAGCAGTGAAGGACCACGTCTCTGATCCGTAAGTCATCACTGGCAACACGCACTGGTTGTACACTTTAGTTTTCAGAGATTGAGGCGTAGCTTGTAGATCCTCTTTCCATGAGTTGCGCATGCCCAAGAGAACCAGTGGAAGGGCTTCCGTCCACTGCGATGATGTGTGGCACATGATCGCCGCCTTAAGTTGACGATGAAGTCGCTCGATGATACCGTTCGCATATAGGCGCTGGGTGATAGGCGGTTGTGCGTAAGTGACGCGCACCAACGAAAACGAACGCTTCGAATTGGCGACCACGGTCTGTAGTCATCGGTAGCCAGTAAGCCTCGACGCCTGGATCCACTACGCATGCAAGCTGCGAACAGGAGTTCTCAGACATGCTCGCCAGCGGCACAGCCAGACCATCGGAAAGCGCTTCGAAAGTCTTCTCCTCTTCACATGGTAAAGAAAAAAGACGATAGTTGGAGGCCATGTGGAGACTACAGAGCACTGAACTATATCAGATCGGCTCAAAAATCAAAGGGTCTCATCCGATAGTCATGACTCCGTAATTACTTCGAGCCTTCGAAGACCTCTTCTCGCTTATCCGGACCCAGCTGCAGAACTAGCAATAGTGACAGATGCGTCTGAAACTGCCATAGGCGCCGTGCTTCAACAACGGAAAGGTAAGGATTGCCATCACTTGCTTTTTACTCTCACAAGCTCAGCAACGCACAGCCCCTACGACCGAGAGTTACTGGCTGTCTACGAAGCCATCAAGTACTACCATCATATGGTCGAGGCTAGAATATTTACAATATTCACCGACCATAAGCCTTATCTTCGCCTTCTCAAAGAGCAAAGACAAATGCACCCCAAGACAGTTCAGACACCTTCACTACATTGCTCAGCTTAGGACAGCGCCGCCACATCACCCCCCTGCTCAGACCAGAGGTCGATGGTACAGTCTAGTTATCGACGAATGTGCAAGTACCAGTGGGTTGCCTTGTAGTCTGCGGTGAGTCGAGAAGAAGGCAAGTAATCTGCGAGAGTGCCGTGAAGCAGAGGCGAGCAGTAGGGCTCAGAACCGTGCCGAACACTGTATAGCGCAGAGAGGTAGCTTGAAGGAACAGGAAGCATTATTATTCCAGTGCTGCGATGAACCTTATGAAACTAGATGGCTTGCAGGATGTGAAGACTGCAGACGATATCTGCTCGGGAGCGAATGGGTGGGGTATTCGGGGAGCGGCCTACACTCCGTGTGATAGTTGGGATGTTCTATATAATATACTGTTTATGATTCGGAATATTGATAGCGTGATTTAGACTTCGGTGTGTTTCGTTTGCGGCGCGATGACAGTAGAGAAATATAGAACTGTTGTAATCCCCGCAGACTGAAAATGCATTGTTCCCAGTAAAAATGGTCCATTCAATTGTTCAACATTGGAATAATTGGTCTAGCACACAACCTCTGTTGATTTTTTTAAATCGATCTGCAGGCGATTACTTCGTTGACATGAAAATGATGGACACTTTGTAGTACATTGCGTATTTTTATGAAAAATACCACAGCTCGTAAAACGTTTGACTCAATGTACTGCAAAGTGAATTTAACCGCCGCGCCGCGCTGGCGGATTATTGATCTGGTTATATAGTTTAAATAATGGCTTGAACTGGATATTGATACGTAAAAGTGTTGTGATTTTGTGTATTAAGTGTCCGCGCATATGAACTTTTGGTGGAATCGACGTGGTAGAGCCGCGCCACAGCTATATTAGTTTTTTTATAGAAGAGGGGGCAAACCAGCATGCGGCTCACCTGATGGTAAGTGACTATCGCCGCCATGAACAACCGCAACACCAGGGGAATTGCAGGTGCGTTGCCGGCTTTTAAGAAAGGAGTAAGCTCTTGTTTTGAGGGTCCCCAAGTCGTATCGGTCCAGAAAAATCGCCGGTGGTAAACAATTCCACAGAGGAGTTGTACGAAGAAGAAAACTACTAGTAAAACGCACGAATGGGTCGGCTCGACCGGGGCAGGACAACGCTCTCACAGAATACCAGCGTAAAATAGCAGGTTAATGCTGCTGTGTTTCGTATGGTGAGTGTAGAGAACCGGTGACCCTTTTTAGTGGAGTCGAGACATTCCATATTAGTCTTCAGGGGTGAGAATATAGTCTACATCACCTGAAGATGCCTTGTGTAGAGGCGAAACACGTGTCGTATTGTCGTCGATGGTGTGTCTTTCCCAGAATAGTGGTGTTGGGAGTAGCGGCGTTGGGAGTAGTGGTGCTGGGATTGGTGGTGACGGGATTAGTGCACGCAATTGAGGGGGGGGCAGGAGGTGCTCTTCAATCTAGGGAAGACATATCATTTTATTTAATTGAGCGGATGATTGCAAAGTAACTGTTAATATCTTTATTATAACGGATTTCCGCGAAGTAACGCCCGATTCTATTAATAGAAGTTTAATTCTACTGTATTATAATATGGAGTGTTTTTTACGTGGTAGAGCCACGCTGCAGCTATATTATGGTTGTAGACACAAATGGGTCTGCTCGACCGAGGTAGTACATCGCTCTAACACAATATCACTGTAATATAGCTCCCCAATGCTAGTGTGTTTCGTACGGTGAGTGTAGAGAAGTGGAGCCCCTTATTAAAATTGGAAACGAGCCATTTCAACTTATTCCTTAGTTGTGTCAACGCATCTGCATTTTGATTTTTAATCAAAGATAAATGTAGATGTCTGTAGGCCACAGCCTCCACTTGCCATCAGGTGGACCGTGTGTTCCTACGTCACACTTATTGTATTGAAAAAAAAAATTATGTTAAAATCGTTCCGTTTCCGTTTGTCTAATTTAGAATAAAAAAATGGAATTTTATAGAGATTATATTTTGTGGGAATTAAATAAAACAAATATTTGTATTTTGTATGCATATATTCGGATTCAATAATTCAATAGCTATCAATTAATATTTAATACAATTTAACTTAAAAAAAATACACCGACTTTTCATTGAACGCATATAGTACAGTGATCGTACTTATTAGTAACTAACTTAGCTATGTCCAAGCTTAAAATTACTATAAATTACAAATTTCATTACATCCCGATCGTACTACATTATATAAAATTAAATAATTAAACTAATAATCTCTTTGTAAGTACACAAATTAAATCGACTACTTAATTCGATACTCCATTTTTATTTAATAATCTATTGCTCTTAAACCCATTTCTCTCTATTGTTTAAACTGTATTAACAATCTCTGCGAATAGTTCCATTTATTTTCATTTTATTACTAATAATAAATGAATAGAAACTGACAAATACTGGACCAATGAACAGCCATAAAATTCCGCGGTTCCCATTGATCGCAAACATTACAGATTTTAAAACTTCATTCGATCATAATTTATTTATACAACTGTACATTAATCATCGTAACGAGAAAAGAAACTGGGAATTTTATCATCACAGTGTCTTCACTGGCTAAAATTAATTACAACATCGTAATCTTATAAACTAGACAATATAAGTCACATATACAAATGTACCACACACATTTACAAATTGTTTTTCGAAAATAAAATACTTAAACACATAAAATATGTACATTCGTAAAAACTATGTTTACGCGTTTCCAGCGAACGTCGTGGGTAAGGATCCGTTTTCACTAGTAGCGAGCAAATATGGCGGCACTGGTTTTGCCTTAAATAATTAAATAAAGAAATAAGCCTATGACGTCGATTTTAACTTATAACACTTGGTAAATATTAAATGCAATTGATATTGATATTAGGCATCCCTTATGTCGTCAATGTTGGCGATTGAATGTTTAATTTTATTATGCTTATTATACATACATTTCTTATTTCATATACACAAAAATATGTCCATAATTCTTATTTGTTGTTAATGGCAGCATGGTCAGGCTTTAAATAAAAATAAAACCATAATATACTTACCTTGACGCCAAAATGTAATACTTATCAATTTGATTCAGCGATAAGTAAGTGGTGAAAACGATCCTCGACTATTTTAAAGTTACTTTTAAATATAGTAAGTGATATGACTCGGGGAATTTACAAGAATTACGTAGCGATACAAACAAAACAATCTCTATACATCTACAATATAATATATGGCGAAGTTATACAATTCGTTTCGAAAGTAGGCCATTAAATTGATTCAAATAAATTTCGTTGATTTTCGTTTATTAGTTTGAAAGAAGAACAATCTAGTTTAGTAAATTGTAAATTAAACATTCAGACGAATCTAGAGCTCATACTGTTTTTATTTAATACCATAAAAATATAAAAGTCTATTGCCAGTGAAAAAAAATACTTAAATTACTTTTACTGAGTTGTTAATATCTCAAAGTACGAGAATGATTTCAAGCTTCGTCTGAAAATTTAATTTAAAAATATTACAAGACCATAACAACATATATTTTAATATAATTTATTTTAAAATTGATTGAATTATAAATAGATTAGTTAGCTCTGTGTAGATAAATAAAGCTATGATATGTATTTACATCGAATTTTAAAACGATTTTCAAATTCATTTTACATTTCATCGCTAAGAATTTTAGAAGCGTACGCAACGTTAAATGTCCAAAAGCATTTGAAAATCGAATAAAATCCGAAAGTTAAAGATGACATTTCTAGCAAGGTATGGATGTCGTACTTCGACAGTATCATTTTTAAAGTTCAAGAGCAAAGGAATCTACAATAAATCAGCCAATGTTAAAAATCATCGCACACCCAAGAGAAATTTTACAACATATTTACAACTCTAAATAGAAGACTAGAAACACTACACCATGTTTATTCCGTACTTTTCAGGCGCGAAGTAAGTGTTGCCAGAGTTGGAAAAGTTCGTAATTTGCGACGCTTGGAGCATGCTCAGGTGTGGGGAATTTTGGGTTTGGTTCTCCGGGGACTCTGGACCGGAGGAGAGAATGTTGTGGTGGGAGGGCCACGCGGCCGGGGGGGATGGGTTTCCGAAGGAGACTTGATTGTATAGCTGGTTGCCGTTCGCAGTCAGGTTGTGTCCGTGATGGCTGCCGTGTGATTGGTTCACCGATGACCCGTTGAAGTATTCCATCTGGCAACAATAAAACTGATTATAGCTATAATGAGTTTCGAAACTATTAAATATAATACCATATTTGTATAAATTTTATATATTGGCAACACAGTTCTACAGTCTGCTCTATTTTCGGGAATTTTGATACCTTCTTATTTAACTGGATTTTAATGCAAATTGTGAATCTAATGAACTATAAAAATTTGCCAGCGTCTCTTTCCATCCGACAACAATGTGGGTATCTTCAAAACAAGAGTTAATAGGCTAAGTAAGCTAGTGCCTCTACTATCTTTGACACCAGCACCACTTACTTCTCTCAAGTACTTCCGTCTAGGAGTCCACCTGGACAGGGCCTATTTATGCCATCAAGTAGCAGTGCGTGTACTGCTTGCTGTGTTCAGCTCAGAAGGGTATAGAGAGCCAGGATGATTACTGGCTGTAAGGTATTCCATCTTAGTCCTCAGGGGTGACAACGTATTTATTTTCTTCTTTGTTTGAAGTTGGTTGAAGATTTCCATGGGCTGTAGAAGCTACTTACCATCAGGTGACTGAAGGTCGTATGTTTCTAATTTAATTGTAAAGTTAAAAATTAGGTAAAAAAAAACAAATCATAATTTAAAAACTTGATAATTTTCATCCTGAAAAGTTATTGAGTTTTTAGTTAAAATCTCAAAAAAAAATTGAACTGAGTCCAATCTTTATTGAGTAAATATAAACAATATGAGGCAATTGTATTTTTTTAAATTTTTTTTAATAGAATAAGGGTGATAAACGAGCACACAGTCCACCTGATGGTAAGTGGAAGCTGTGACCCAAAAAAATCTACATTTATCCTCGAATGAGAATCAAAATGCAGATACGTTGTCACCCCTGAGGACTAACATGGAATGCCACATTTCCAGTAAAAAGGGTCTCCTTATCTCTACACCACCATACGAAACACAGCAGCGTTAAGCCGCTATTTTACGCTGGTATTCTGTGAGAGCGTGGTTCTTCCCCGGTTGAGCCGATCCGTTCGTGTTGCAACTAATATAGCTGCAGCGTAAACGCTCGTTGTAATTTTCAGTAGGTACTTTTTCAGTAGGCGAAGTGGCATAATGAAGTTGCAATTTTATGTAAGTATAATTAATGAAGTTGAAATTGTACTGATCTTCCACGTGTTTAACTGTGAGGAAAAACATTGTGCAACGAATTTGCATGTATGACGAATTCAAAACATTTCGAGGTTATGTGACTAACTAATAACTAATTGAGGTAGATCGGTGGATTCTTTCTAGCTTCGAAATCTTCCTTTAAAATCCTTCTTCTCAGAAATGAGAGAGAGCAAGAAGCTTGTATTTAGTGGTGGGACATATACACTTAACTACTTTTACTTGAATTATTATAGAATAAAAATAGTAAAGTAAAATAACAGACTATACGTCTCACTGCTGGGTATAGGCCTCATTTCTGAGAGGGTTTTAGGGCAAGGCAATGGCAAATTCCGCCGCATTGCTCCATTGCGTGATGGCGAACTTTACATGCCTTCGAAATATTTTCGTTTCTTATTTTTCAGACATACAGGTTTCCTCACGATGTTTTCCTCCAATTAACAATTTCATTGGTGCCAGCGGGGATCGAACCCGGGTTGCTCGTGTACTGTGTTGTTACAGCGAACGCTTAGCCATTGTGCTACCCACGGCTTTTATAGAATAAATAAAAATTAAAAATGTTTACATGTAATTTATAACTTTGTAAATTCTCACCTGACTGGGATAGTATGGCGAGTTATACGCGCTCTGACCGTACCCCTGGTGATGGTGTGACGTCGAGTAACTTCGGATGTAATCCGAACTACCCGGCCAATGGAAACTGTTATAGGAATCCGGATGGTACACATTGCCTGGTCCGTTGATGCTTTGAGGGGTAATAGGAGGGGAGGGGGTGGTCATTATCGAGGAGTTGGAGCCTAGCGGAGTCAGATTCCCCGTTAAACGGGAACTATACTGGTCCTTGACTAAATTGCTCCCGAAAGACTTCTCGGAATAGTCAACTTTGCTGTTGTAATCAAGCCTCTTGGGACTACTGTAAAGTTCTTGCTTCGGAGTCACTCCATAGCCGTGAACATTTGAAATAGTTTCTGATGGGGAGGAATCTTTACCGCTGAGCCTCAGGGCTTCGGAGTTGTACTGGTGGGTAATGGAGAGATTGTTTTTTGTCAGCGGTGATGATTCGTAACTGGCAGCGGATTCTTTCTTACAAATCACGTTTATAGGGGGACTGACAGATGTGGTAGGGGTTATTGGTAAGTTGGGGGATGATGTGGTTATACTGGACGAGTTTTGGGTTGTTGTGTTGGAAGAGTTGGTCATTGTTTTCGAGGTGGGGGCTTTGGAAGTGCTGTTGGATGAGCCCTTCAGGTTGCTGCTTGAGGACAGCGAGGTTTTCGAACTGGATGATGACTTGCTGGAAATCTGTGTGTTAGATTGCTGTTGGAGCTGTTGTCGGCATTTCGCTCTTCGGTTTTTGAACCATACCTGGTGGAAAACAAAGAATATTAATAAAAATGTTTTACAATAACCATAGTAAACATTTAGACAATTGAGATTTCTTGAAGCGGTTTAAGAGAAAGTATTTAGATTTGCAGTGGGATTGTCAATTTACTATGGTGGAAATAAATAATTAAAAAAAAAAGAATAACGATAATAAACGAGCACACGGTCCATCTGATGGTCAGCGAATGTTGTGGCCCATACACATCATCCTCGATTAAGAATCAAAATGTCCATACGTTGTCACCTACGATGATAGTATGCCCCATTACCAGTTATGAGTCTCCGGTTCTCTACACCCACCATACGAAAAACAACAGCATAAAGCTGTTATTTTACGCTGGTAATCTGTGAGAGCGTAGTCTTTACCGGGATGTGATAATGTTATTTTATTATGATAATATTTTGTGATCTAAGAGAAGATAATATATAAAAACATAGAAGTTGCACGCCAAAACGAAGCTAATCAGATTACCATCAGAGTTACATAACCGTTCCGCTGTTGTAATTAACCAAGAGTCTCGTAGTCATGTGCGCGAATCTAAGATGTTGGTCTCTATAATAAAAACTACGAGTTTTGATCAACTTAAGATCAATCATCTTCACAGATTTATATTATCATTATCATTACACACCATCACCACTCCGCTGCCGAACACAAGGAATACCACAAAGTACGGTACTAAGCCACCAGCATCTTAATAATTTAAGGTCTTCTTGATGAGTATATTGTTAAAAATAAAGACACGTTTAATATAAAACGACGGGAGTTGTGTGCTGGACAAACGTTTTAAACCTATGATTTATTTTATACGTGGTAGAGTCATGCTGCAGTTTATTTTAGCAGTATAGTTGTAGCATGAATGGGTCGACTCGACCAGGGATAGACCACGCTCTCACAGAATACCAGCGTAAAATAGCAGCTTAATGCTGCTGTGTTTTGTATGGTGAGTGTAGAGAACCGGAGACCCTTTTTACAGGAAACGAGGCAATCCATCTTAGTCCTCACAGGTGACAACGCATCTGCATTTTGATTCGTAATCGAGGATAGATGTAGATGTCTATGGGTCACACACGTTTGTCACCCTATTCTATAAAAAAATGATCTAAATGTTTCAGCCGCGTAGTGGCATAAAATAATATAATAACAACTCAAAATAATTAACTGCGTTAGCCAACCCGCCTGCCAAACATGGCAACTGTGGCAAATATCATGAGGCAATCTATAAGGAAGCCAATGTTCAGCAGTAGCTTTTTGATAGGCTGTAAGGTATAAAACCAATGTTTCTTTGTATAACAAACAAAAAAAAACTATCCTCAACTACCGGAAATCTATGCACCATGAAACGGACGCCAGATGGCTCCGTAATACAAATTACAAGCGATTACGAGTATTATAGTATTGTGGACGGTGCGTAGTGCACAGCGTGCGTACCAATTATTACCCTGCCAATGTTTGCTTGTCGACTTATAGGAGTGCGATATATTTGTTGGTGTTTTGGGGTTGAGTTGGGGCGTTAGACGGGCGAGTCTTGCGCGGTTTTTTTTTAATAAAGGGAACAAAGTAAGATTTTATTATTGCATTTGTATATTAACAAATAAATCAATTTAATTAAACGTTAGAATTTTTTTAAACAATTACTTTGCCCTTGAGCCTGTGATCCTGCGAAGTGACAAGGTCAAAGATACCTACTAAATGTATTGTTTTACCGCTGTTCGTAAAATAGGGTGGATATGATTTTAATTTCGATAGATTTTAATTTATTTATTTATTTAACTCAAAATGTTTGTTTTAATTTTTGCAAAATATCAATAGGCTTTTACTCCGTTCACATGTTACACCCTTTTTTTCCAGACGGTAAAACAGTATATTGGATGGAAGAGATGACCACGGTGTAGGTATATCGAATGATCTTATGACTTCCGATAGATATCCAATGTACATATACCATCAGTGGTATACCATCTCGTTTTTTGGCAGACGTAAAATGTTCCAACCGGTAACAGGCAACAACGTCAGAGGTGCATGGAGTGCATGGTGTATGGAGGTCTGCGGGACGATGAAGCAGAAGAAGAAACTTTAGAGTCTAACTTTCTTCTCATTTCTAATAAGAAAAGCTAACAGATATGGCTCACACTTAACTTCTTCCATAAAAAATATATACAATATAAAGAGGATGTTTGTAAATATGAAATCGTTTAACTAAAATCTATTTATACGATGTATGTGTGTGAGTGTGATTTGTGTGTGTGTGTGTGTGTGTGTGTGTGTGTGTGTGTTTCCCCTCACTCCTATGGAAAAAAAAAACTGGTGGACAACGTCTGCGGGGTTCAGGTAGTAAGAAATATATTTTCGAATAAGAACAAAGAAAAAATATCACAACAGCCAGGAACATATTTACTACTTACAAAAAGTAAGCGTACGAGCGAATCGCTACGATTATATACTCTTTGGCGAGCGAGCATTGAGAAAAAATAAACTCATTCAAATCATTAAAATTCATTGTTTCCTATAACAAATTCGCGTGATACGGCATCTGTTACACTGTACTGTACCCATTGACGGGAGTTGCTCTTTTTCATAAAACATATTAAGTCATTTATTCATGACGCACAATACGAAAGGGGGTTCGCAGTAGGGGGTATAATCCGGTACGGGTGCACTGTGGCACGAAACTTACACATACGTCGGCGGGAAAGTCGTCTTGCTCTCTATGAGGATCATACGTAACATGGAATTCAAAAACGGCGCTATCAACTAGATTTCTTTTCGCAGTATAATTACAGTTCGTATCTTTTACATATTTAGTATATGGTAGTGCGACGCAGAAGCTGTAATGGGTCGGCTGACAGTAGAAGGACAAGATCTAGAGAATACCAGCATGAAATAGCTGAATAATACTGTCATGTTTCGTATGGGTCATTAATAATTATTTCTATAGTACGTGAGGGTAATATGGTCAGTCGGTTAGTATAGTCACTTTCCTATAACTCAAAAACTATAGCTCTGTTTGCATAAATGACTCTGTGATACGATAGCTCTTCATTGGCCAATCAAATAATAAAAGGTCAAAAAGGCGCTGGTTTATCGACACCATTTTGACAGTTGACATTATAGTAAAAATTTAGTAGATTTTACGAAGTGTTCCTAATTATTGTCAATGCTTGTTTTTTTTTTTAAATATGTTAGTTACAGTATAGGACTTTGTGTTTTAATCTGTGTCATCATCCAAATTTTGGTTTTATAGGGCGGCAAAACTTAAGGTACAATGACCATATTACCCTCACGTACTTTAATTATATTATATATATATATATATATATATATATATATATATATATATATATATATATATATACATAGAATATTAAAAAAAATTAAAAAGGTTATTCGATTATCTTTCAGATTATTCTGATATTTCGCTTGCATTTTTAGTTGACGAAAATTAAGGTAAAATTAAAATGAATAATATTTACAACATATTTGAAATTTAGTGGAACTATCTTTTGACCTTTTACTAATTTAATCTCAATAATTAATTCATTTCTTATTGCATGCGAAATATAATATTGTATATAAGAAAGAAAAAGATAAGAAACAAATTAACACTAGCCTTAAAGCCTTTTAATGTAATCTATTGCAACCATCAGAATAATTCAAATAGAAGCACCTCTTCAAGATTATCAGATCTCTCTCTTCACAATTAAAATTATAAAGGGTACGCTATAAGATCACCGGAACAGATAAATGCAAAAGAAAATTAAAATAACAGCTACGTTTAGCATGCTAATTAGCGGTTTACTGCGCTATAAAAAGAAGTTAAATGATAACATTTTTCGCAACATGAATTTTTAAAATTGGAAGACGGATATGACTGTTTTTATTAAATTACTTTTTAGGTTGAGTTGTACATCATTTACACATTAAATAATGCACTGGTCTCACTCTGATCATGGAGCAGAACGAAAAGTAAGCAAAACTGGCAGTTGAAATATGAAAGAAAAAGTCATAAAGTTATGAAGGTGAAACCAGAGTTCAAAAAAAAATTTAAAACAAAAGCTACCAAGTTGCGATTCGTAAAGAATCAATTACATAATAAATTAACGATCGTCAAATTCAAAGAGAATTGAAGATTATTTAATGCGTTTATATTAAAAATTGCCGAAACATGTTCAAAGGATTTCTTTTCGTATTGGATAATGCCCTGTCAAACAATGGAGTGGATTGGATGATTCGATTTTCGAATTCGAAATTTCGAACGCGTAATTCGATTGCGCGAGCTAATGCTTTACTCGTGTCGGTTATAAAATGCAAGTTCCAACGAATCGATTTGTAATCGATGTTCAGTCATCTGTCAAACTTTGACAGAGTTAGGTCTTTAATTTTTTCAACTTTTTAAATATTAATAAAGTGTAAGGCAAGGAACATGTTTCTTTGCTTGTATTAAGCTGTTCGACTAAAACTTCGATGTTCTATTGCAAAATATAAATATATAAATGTGTACATGACAGTAACCTGATATATTGTAAAACTTGATTCAGCTATTCGATTACTGCATAGTACGTGAGGGTTATATGGTCATCCGGTATAATGGTCACTTTCTTACAATACACAAACTACAGCTTTGTTTGCATAGATGGCTCTGTGATACGCTAGCTCTTCATTAGTTAATCAAATAATTAAGGGTCAAAAGGGCTATGCTTCATCAACGCCGTTTTGACCGTTGACAACAATATAAATATTTTAGTCTACTCTAGTATTGTGTAGTGTAGTTATTTTTTTTAAATTGATATTTCGAAGTGTTCTTAATTATTACCAAAGCTTGTTTACTATTTTTTTCTTAATATATTAGTTATAGTATACTAATTTAGGTAAAGTCTTAAAGTCCCGACTAAGATCATCAGGATAAAGAAATATCTTTAGATTAGTGAGCAGGTTAAACGTATAGTAAAGTAAAAGTAAAGTTACAGCCTATATACGTCCCTCTGCTGGGCACAGGCCTCCCCTCATTTCTGAGAGGGTTTTAGGGCAAGGAAGTGTCCGCCGCGCTGCCCCAATGCGTGTTGGCGAACTTCACATGTCTTCGAAATATTTTTTCCTCATTACTCAGATATGCAGGTTTCTTACTCAGATACGCCGAGCACGTGGTAAATCAGCACTTAAAATTGCAATTAACAATTTCATTGGCGCCGGCGGGGAGCGAACCCAACCCGGGTTCGATCCCCGCGTTCTGTTATATTTACAGCGAGCGAGGTTAAGCGTATACCACTCGTATTTTATACTTTTTAGTTCTATTGCTATTAAAGCGTGTTTTTTTTACATTTACTTGGAACTAGTCTATAAATAATTTACGGTAATTAATCAAACCTTTGATATATTATCTCGTTGTCGGTTAGATATTTGAATTGGAGGCAAATTGAACTTACAATTTTGCCGATTTATCGAGATTTATGGACGGTAGTTTGTAAATATAAACCTATTACGGAACTATATGCGTTTAATATAAATATTAACATAGTTTTGTGATATATTACTTTTTTAGACAATTCAAAATGGAAAAAATAACTTAGTAAAAAGTAAAAGACGACTTCAAACTTCTAAAACTTCTAAATTATTATTATTCTATAGACGATGTCTTAACACCGACTTCAGAATGTGAAATTATATCATTATTATTAGTTATTTAAAGTCGGCTTTTATATTTTATTAAGGGGAAATATAATGTCAAATGGCTTAGCAAGATCCTTCGTTATGCCGAAAATATTGCAGCATTAATTTTGAAATAAATATATGGTAAAGTTGAGGATTAATGTTAATGATTATGTTAGACGAAAACACGATTTCGTAAAATTTTCTCGATAGAAAAAAAATCCAAAGTTGCCTCCAAAATAAACAATAAACCGCTGTTATTCATATAATTCTTTAAATAAGATCATGAAATTTTGCATACTAACTGAACTAACTATAAAGCAGTGCTTATGTTATTTACTTTTTTTAAAATACCATTATTTTCACTGAAAAAAAGAAATTACCTAAACTATCGGCGTCTTGAGCTTGATTCCTGTCGCCCCGTTAGTATCGCTTAGGCTTTTGAAGGGAGAAGTTGTGTCGCTTATGAGCAGAATACACATTACGCAACAGTACGACGTAAAATTAAAATGGGAAATAACCGTGATAAAAATAAGAAGCGGCTGACTTGGCGTTAAGAAACAGGCATAAATACGATAAACCTAATTAAATAAGTATCTAACGACCGATCTACTTACAGTATTAGTGATTACAAACATATCGGTACATAGCATACGACGCGCGGGGAAGTGGGGGCGAAATTAGAATTTGAGCTGACTTACTCTATCCTCTTAAAAGTAATTTTTTTATTTACCCTTAACCGACGAGCATGCGTAGGTATATGAATGTGGAGGAGGCGAGAGAGGTGTGTCAGGATCGTGCCAAATGGAAGTCTGTATAGTCTCTGCCTACCTCTCTGGGTGACAGGCGTGAGTGTTCATCTATGTATTATGTATGTACTTTTGATTTTATTATTTAGAATGTAGGAGTCTGCCAGAGCAACTTACTAATCACATGGATTGTATGATCGTTTGTCAACTTACTTAAATATACTGTTACCGTTACAGCCTATTGAAGGCCACTGCTGACATAGGGTTCCACCATAGACTGCCCCATAGGGGATATTTGTCATAGTTATAAGGAATACTTAGAAAGAAAGACAAAATCCTGCAAGGAATTTCCTTCAAGAAAAATCTTTATTAAGATTCCGTACCCAAAGGGTTACCAACGGAACCCTATAACTAAGCCCCCTCTGTTCATCCGTCCGTCCATCCATCCGCTCGTCCGTCTGTCAACGGGCTGTATCTCATAATCCGTAGACAATAGAAGGAGTCCTCGGAGAGTTCCCGGAGTCAGGAAGTTGACGGTGTTTCACTTCCGTGCTGGTGCCAACTGTGTAAAGTCGTTGCTCCTGCGCCTGATCTCTCTCCGGTCGTGTCGGATTACCGTGCCCACCGGACTATGAGAATGAGGGAATAGAGAGTGCACCTGTGCTTGCACATACACACGTGCACTGTAATCCTGTCTTGTACCGATGCCTAGTCTCGGTTGCGACTGACCGCCGTGACCGAAATACCGTCTGGAGGATATTATTATTGTTAGTGCTTAATTAAAACTGTGAAGGTTAACATATCTTACCTGCACCCTAGACTCGGGTAAGTTAATTTTCAAGGCGACCTCTTCCCTCATGAAGATATCCGGGTACCTCGTCTTGCCGAAAAGCGCTTCTAGAACGTCTAACTGGGCTCTCGTGAATGTGGTCCGCTCGCGACGCTGCTTTCGCGGGTTCACACCTGGGTACAAAGAGAAAATAGCTCTTATTTCTATGGTGACAAAGCTGATTCTTTTTTATTGAGTTCCACACAGCGAGACCAACCTAGTTAAAGTTCTATATACAACTAAGCCTTGAGTCAAACGGTAAGAGTTAACATCCAGAAACTAGACTGTCAACTAGCGACATCTGCTGGAAGAGTGGCGGAAGATTATTAGCTCTCATTAAGGTAACCAGAGAATTAACATAGAATTCTTTGTTACCCATAAAAAAGTCTCCGTTCGTTTCTCGTCACATCATACGAAACACAGCAGCATTAAACTGCTATTTTGTGCATTCATTGTGACATTAGTGTAGGAAGTAATTTGAATTGGCTGCACCGTTAGTCAACGTGTTATACGAAAATTAAAATGCTAATAGAAGTCATTCCGGTGCCGAGCGGTCGCTATAGACGTAGGCAAAGAGAATATAATCACTGCGACGTAAGTAGGTTTTGTTTTATGACCATTTAGAATTTAGATGGAGCGGCGCTGACATGTCAGCTGTCGGTTTGAATTTATCGATTATTCGATTCGATTGCTAGCGATTTTAGATAGCGATATACTAATTGAGTAGATATTAGATTGTGTCCATACGTTATTTATAATTTGAATTATTAAGATAATATATAAAGTATAATTACGAGGTATACTTTTAAGTGCACCGCTGCATATTTAAGAATGCGCCATCGGATTAACGTGGTAGAACCATGCTGCAGTTATATTACGGTTGTAGCACGAATGGGTCGGTTCAGCATGGGTAGAACCACGCTCTCATAGAATACCAGCGTAAAATAGCTTAATGCTATTGTGCTTCGTATGGTAAGTGGAGAGAAGCAGAGGTCCTTTTTACTGGAAACAATGCATTCTATCTTAGACCTCGGAGGTGACAAAGCATCTACCTTCTTATTATTCATCGAGGATAAATGTTTCGGTCGATCGGCCACAACAACTACCTAATATCAGACGGACTGTGTGCGCGTGTCACCCTTATCATATTAAAAAAAACATCCACATACCACCGGGTCGTTTAACTAAGGGGAAGGGTACTATCAGAGACAGTGTATATTACCTCTAATACACGAACAGTTTGCTATAGCCATGGTAGCTCAGATGGTTAGACCTATAGTCACATTACGCGAGCAACCCGGGTTCGATTCCCGCCGGCACCAATGAAATTGTTAATTGCAATTGAAGCGGTGAAGGAAAACATAGTGAGGAAACCTGCATGTCTGAGAAATAAAAAAAAGTATTTCGAAGACATGTGAAGTTCGCCAACACGCTTTTTGGCAGCGCGGCGGACACTTCCTTGCCCTAAAACCCTCTCAGAAATGAGAGGAGGCCTGTGCCCAGTAGTGAGACGTATATAGGCTGTAACTTAAACCTTTTTTAATAAACTTCGTATTGAAGATATTCGCTGAAGAACCAGAGGAACCGACATAGCCCAAAAGATTAGTAAGCTAAAGTGGACTCGTAGCTCGACGTACCGACAACAGATGAGGCGAACTGGTACTTAAGTGGCAGCCTGATACCAGTAAGTGAAGTGTTGCAGCCTCTAATAGATGAAGTGACATGGTTAGAAATTAAAGAAAAGAAAGAAAGAAAGAGATATTCATTTGGCCATTTCTTAACAAATTAGCACTAAATACTCAAAACAAACATTATGTTTAGGTATTCTTATAGGTAGACTTAATTATAAACTTACAATGAAAAATAAATCATTTTGATAAAGCAGATAAATACAAAATACATTAAAAAAAATGCAAAAATGAAGGAATCGACAAATGGCAGTTATTGTAACATCTGTGATCTTATTGCATAACTAGCTGACCCGGTAGACGTGGACGATGGGCTTAATTTATAATTTCCACACTTTTCTATAGATTTATTAAACGAATAGCGAAAATTGGGACAAATAGAGCCATCAGCAGCCATAATGGCACAAACTTTGATAAAAAGGAAAAACATAACCGTTTTTTCACACTACCGTAAGCGGATGGAAAGTTGCCTATATGCTTTATACTGTCAATTATTGCCTATATACAAAATTTCATGGAAATTCGTCCAATAGTTTTTCCGTGAATCGCGAACACACAATTTTTCTAAAGTCTTATTAGGTATGTATAGATATTGCATAATGTTATTTAGGAAAAGTCCTGCAGGGTTTTTGCTGGACAGGGGACAGAGGATTTTTTCGGAACAGTGGTAAAAGCAAACAATGACTCATTATAAATTATATAAAAATTATATTTAATAACAAAAATGTTCTATTCTACTCCGCGTTTTGTGGCATACCTTGGGGGAGACCTTTGTTCAGATGTCAACTTGTGAAGGCCTGTAATGATGATGATGGATGAAATATACTTTAGCATTGATTTTTTTATCATAGGGTATGTAGGGTTATTTTTCTATAATCGGCCAAATTTGCAGAGATGGTTCAAAATAAGTAATATAGGCAATTGGTGAAGAAAAATTAATTTAAAAAATCTCAAACATTCTGTCCTTTTATCTTTTAAATTCAAAATGCGTGGTAATGCACTATTTTAACTGATTTTACTGCGCACGCACACATTCGTAAGTTTCGATCGGTAGAGAAAAACGTTGTTGCCCATAAATCACGTTCAATTAGGGATAATTTCAAAAAAAAGTAGAAGCCTTATATCTTCGCCTCGTATTTTCAAAAACTGCAATAATTTTATGATATTTCTTTATATTTAAGTTTAAAATTTGGCTCTTTGAACAAAAAACCCTGCATAGTTAATAAATAGTAGTCTATTAGACTTTAAATATCTCCAAACCATCAAATGATGATGTCATTAACAAATTGCTTCCTCATCAGCCAGTAAAAGTTTACAGCTGGATGTGGGCTACCCGGTTAGTAAGAAGGATTTCCCTTTATCGTCAACTTTAGGTTTTCTTTTATATGATAGGGTAACAAACGAGCTCACAGTCCACCTGATGGTAAGTGGTTGCTGTGGCCCATATACCTACATCTACATCTATCCTCGATTACGAATCAAAATGCAGATGCGTTGTCACCCGTGAGGACTAAGAAGGAATGCCTCATTTCCAGTAAAAAGGGTCTCCGGTTCTCTACACTCACCAATCTAACTCGAAACACAGCCATTAAGCTGCTATTTTACGCTAGTATTTTGTGAGAGCGTGGTCCTTCCCCGGTCGAGTCGACCCATTCGTGCTACAACTATACTACTAATATAATTGCAGCATGGCTCTACCACGTATCACACTTTTAAAGCTGTAAATTACTACATCATATAATATTTTGACTTTTCCGTTTGATTCTTTTTTTATATATATAAAATGTGGGTGGGCACATAGTCCACGTGATGGTAAGTGGATGCTGTAACCCATAGATATTTACATCTACCCACAAATAAGAATCAAAATGCTCATGCGTTGTCACCCCTTAGGACTAAGGTATCGGATTCTCTACACTTATGCCCGGTTTACATTATTCCAGTCTAGCAATCCAGCGTGAATTGCTAGACTGGAATAATGTAAACCGGGCATTTGTAAGGTCTACATTATTCCAGTTATTTAGAATCCGTTGAAGTGTGAACACTACAGTGACAGCACTGGAATGTCACTGGATTGGCCGTCCATATTATTTTAGTTGCACTGGATTGGTCGCACTGGATTCAAAAGTAGACCGTCAATCCAGTTACTGGACTGGAATGCTAACTGGATTCGGTGCGTTCCAGTGCCGGTTTACATTTTTCCAGTAAACAATTCAGCGCTGGATTCGATCGCTGGACTGGAATAATGTAAACCGGGCATTACCATATGAAACGCAGCATTAAGCTGCTATTTTACGCTGGTATTCTGTTAGAGCGTGGTCCTACCCCGGTCAAGCCGAACCATTCATGTGACAACTAATATAGCTGCAGCGTGGCACTACACGTATAGCTTGTTAGGGTTAATTTAATAAGAGACTATATATTAACTGATTTTTTCAGTCTAATATCACATCTAGAATATCACAACTTGGCCTTTACTCTTTAAAAACATAGAAACTTGTGCATTTACAGTTGTCTCGTGTATAGCCACCGACGGCACCGGTTTCGTACCAAACGCATAAATTTCTCGGGATCTTAATATGTGTACTAATCACGTTATGCTAATGCGCTGTGAACGCGGCTTCCGTGCTACGGACTTTTGATTTGTCTATGATTTAACAGCGCTTCTCAAACTGTGAGGCAAACTATTCGTATTAATTTTAAATATTAAAGAAAAGTAAGCGGTCATTTACAAATATACATGGGTCCGGCAGTGGAACAAGTCTCCTCTAATTTCTGTTGCATAATGGACGCACAATGAAAAGGTCGTCTCTACCGGGGAATGTCTACCCTCGTACAAAATACCGGCATAAAATAGCAACATAATGCTGCTACGTTTTGCAGGGCTAATGCAGAGAACCCCAGAAACCCTTTAAAAGGTAACAGATATTCCATCCTTATCCCCAAGGATTTTTTTTAAATTATTTAATACACAAAGTTAGGTACATTATTATTGAAATTTTCTCGCCTAACTGCGATCAGTCTGCCTGCGAGTATACGCTCTTAAAACTATACATTATTATGCACCGTCATCTACACTAGATACAAATAAAAATTAGTTATAAAATAATATAATCAAAGCCACTAACTACAAGTAATTACAAAATTTAAAAAAATAACTAAAGCAATCAAAAAAATTACAGTAATAATGTGTAGTTATAGTTCAGTCAATAATGACTTTTGAGAGAGAATTTTTATAACAACACATCTGTATTTTAAATCTTTAATTGATGATATAATGCAGATGAATATGAGCCACAGCATCAACTTTTAGTCAAATTGACTGTGTTTCTTCGTCTGTCACTTTTAGATTATTTAAAAAAGAACAGATTTTTCTCATGTCGATATAAACTACGTAATTGATAAACACTCAGAACGGAACGATCACAACAAACAAGCACAAGCGAAAATAGCCAAACGTATAGGAAAACATTGAGCTGTCGTTAAGATATTGCATTAATAAAATAAATAATTTTACAATAATAATTGATAACAAAAAAAATCAACATTACACTCATTAATAACACGTGATTTGAACAAGCTTTACGGCTGCCATTAGGATAGAGAAGTCCCGGCGTTTAATTTTTTGCCAACGTCTCACTATAACTCGCCAGTGTAAAGTTTGGAAACAGCTGTCCTAATCTACATACTACAGAAATTTGATCGAAAAAATCTAATTTGAATTTTGTGGCGTCGCTTCTTGTGCTGTTAGATGTTATACTCGTGTAAATTGAATAAAATAATTTACGTGCAATGATTAGCGCTCACTGATGCTCAGAAATTAAATTAAATTAATGAGCCGTGGTGGCTTAGAAGATATCTTTTTTATAACATTGTAGTGACAAATGAACTTACTACTCCATCTGATAGTAAGTGGAATAAGTCGCGGCACGTAACTCTAGCGCAGAATGAAACAGGGGATAGCTATGAATGTCGTATCAGTACAGGGGACGGAATGCGACTGGAGAGCCAATCAGCGCGTGCCAACGATACCCACAGACAATCATACGCAATAATACACAATTGGGCCAACTATGCGCAATAACTGTCACCGCTAGACTTTCGTGCCGCGAGTTGTACTTGGATATCTGCTATCAACTTCAAATATAGAAGGCTACAGGTGCATTATTACTTCTGAGGACTACTAAGATGGCAGGCCTCACTTTTTGTATTTATACGTACCTACATACCACTTATCTGTAATGACGACGAGATAGGCATTCTAAAGTTCAGCCAAAATATTGTGAAAAAAGTTAATAGGTATTTAATTGACTTCGACACTACATTGATGATGTTCTCATTTTATATATATTGAAGTCAGTTGTACAAATTATTTAATTTTACCACTGGTTTATGCTTTATATTAAAGGCAATACTTTAAGTCCGCTTTTTTGCACGTGGTGTGTACATAAAACCATTTTTAAATAAATAAATAATTAATCAATGAAAAGTATCTTCTATCTAGTTCCAAAAGTAAACTTTAAATGGACATTTGCCTTCTACCAACCTAGAGGAATTCGAGGATCATTAATCACACAATGGAATGGAAAACAAACAAACATGAAAGCGGGTCATGTTAACCACGTACTCAAGTGTAATCCCCATACAAATTAGAAGGTATTTACCAACGTGCCATTACTCAAATCTATAAACACAATGGTTAAATTGCTGTTAAATATCATGTCTTTACCGTGTATGAAATAAGAAAGAAAATTCGGTGATAAATTACTTGACAAGTTCAAAAGATGTTCCAAACTATGGTCAGGCAGACAGCGTGTCGGAAAGAGCGCGTTCATGTCTACCATGAACTGTATGAACAATTAAATAACGCACAGACAAATCACTGCATTTTTCAATTAAGTAATTCTATACTTACCAGGCACGTAAGAATGAATTTCAATACTACTTTAATATGAAAATTCAAAAGTAATAGTTGAACCAGGACTACTATGGTTTAGGGAGTTTTGGTGGGAATTTGACCGTCGGCGAATTGCTGCTCCTGTTCTATTGTTTAAATAATAATTGTTTGAAGTGATTTCGATACGTAAAATTGGTGTAATTTTGTGTATCAAAAGTCTGCACAAATTTTTAAAAAAAAATTCGTATACCTACGCATACTGTGAAGAATTTTGTGAACAAAAGAAAAATCAGACTAGGCTGTATGCTTTAAGACACCCAATAAAAACAACAACAATATTAAAAAAAAAAAAAATATATATATATATATATATATATATATATATATATATATATATATATAACGGCGGATTGTTGTCTCTGTTTTATCGTTAAAAAAATCTTTGAAGTCGATTTTAGTGTGTAACAGTGGAGCGATTTTGTATATTATGCATATAAATGTTGTAACGAGTATTTCGATGGTGATATTAACCTCAGGTTTTCTTATCCATTTAGGGGTCTTTAAATATTAACGTCATCAACTGTCCGCTGGTTTAAGCTGTCGTCAGAATCTCCCAAATACTTCACAAAGTGACCCGTCGGCATACTGTGAAGATTTTGTGAACAAAAAACAACTAGGTATCTATGGTTTAGATTTTGGTTCAATATATATGCTGTATGCGCCTAATGACGGCTAATATTTTTCTGAGGTAAAGTTACTTGTACACAGTGTCACTATAAGTGAAAAGTCACCTTTTAAATAAAGGTTTTAGGTTTCTAGTGGATATATTATAAACAAAAAAAACAATGTCTCAGTAATTGCTCTTTAATTTTTATCACATTTTATAAGCTTCATGAAATACACCTTAGTAAAATAATTGTGTTTGTATTGGTATTAATAACAAAGAATTTAAGTTGCAAACAGGAAAACCATTTCGTAAAATTGGTTAAAAATTAAAGTTACGTCCTATACACGTTCCACTGCAGCGTACAGGCCTCCTAATTCTGAGAGGGTTTTAGGGCAAAGAAACGTCCGCCACGCTGCCTCAATGCGTGTTGGCGAACTTGACATATCTTACTTATTTATTTTTTTCTTATTTCTCAGACATGCAGCTTCCTTTCACGATGTTTTCCTTCACTGCCGAGCACGTGGTAAATCAGCACTTAAAATTGGAATTAACAATTTCATTGGTGCCGGCGGGAATCGAACCCGGGTTGCTCGAGTCCTGTGAAATTTACAGCGAGCGCTTAACCCCTGAGCTAACATGGCTCAAAAAAGTGGTAACACGAAAAATTTATATCTACCTATCGGTTTTTATGAATATATTATCAGATAAGCTTAAAACTTAGGCCTTAGGGTTCGATCCCTTAATAATTGTTTTTTAGTGACGGCTTAAAAGGAACCAAGTCTATTCGATTAGGCGTAGAAGGACAGAAAATCTTTTTCGTTCTTTTTTTCATGAGCTAACTGAATTTCCTAGTGTTATTCATCTCGCTGCTAAGCTTAAAACATAAAAATAAGGCAGCGTATATTTAATCTTAATGACGGTGATGATGAAGATGTGATCTACTATCCTAATATAGTTTTTATAAAAGAATAGACTTATAAAAGGTTGAGTTAATATAAATAAAAAATTAGGCTAATGTGTGTCCATCTTCACGTGTGCTCGTTTCCTTCTTAGCCAATCTGTATCAGACTCCTGTTCATGGGCCTCGCAAGGACAGATTTGCTATAATTTCGTAAGCTGATGGACGATTGAAGTACCAGAAATGTCACACCTTGACGCTGCTAACATTCGTTGGTTTGTATATTTTACGATATATTTGACGGACAGATAATGGTTGGTATACTGCCATCTATCTGGTCTAAGGATTTTCTGGTCTTTCCCAACGTAGCCTCTTATTTCCACCTACGGGTCGAAATACGGCGATAACTCGCAGCATCCACATAACAATTCTATAATTTGTAAAAATATTTTTTACGATTTGACATTAAAAAATACAAACAACAATTCGAAACTCAGCTGGGGCGCAAATTGTTATTATACTATTCAATCGCGCGTTCGTTCACGGATTAAAAATAAAATAATACATCGTTCATTCGAAACTAGATGCAGACCGTCCCCATTCAGTCGGCTATTCCAAACAAACATTTCATACGAAAACTGTCACATTACCCTGCCATAGAAAAGTGGAAATAAATAGACGTTCATCCATCTCTTTCTAGTTTCCTAAACAGACGCGTGGCAAACAGGGACGGATATGTTTCGATTGTTATAGTTGACAATGGGGGCTCGAGCGCTAATCCTCATGACATGGCGGTCTTTTTTAGAGTTAGCGATATTATCTTCACGGTTGATTTCTGATAGGGCTACTGCATAGGGTTGCTGCATTTTAAATTATTAGCGGACTATCCGAAGAGCAAAATGACAATAAAACCTAATGTATTTTAAATAAAATTCCAAGAAAAACGCTAATGATTATATATCATGTACCTACGTGTATCTTTTCCCACCACCTCTTCTTAAAACTAACCAATGTTAAAGGCGACGTTAAAGGCTACACCAATAATAAACAATAGCTTACGCAAGATAAAGAGATCCTTCCAATAAGTAGTTTTGAATGTTTCACATAATTTATTCAGAACTTTCATTTCATATCCCTTAAAATTGTCCAATATTTTACCCAAAAACCTTGGCAGCCCTATTGCGTATAAGGCTTGTTTATGGTCGCTTGTCTATGACTGCTAATGGTAGATTCGTGTTCAGATCTCGTTACGGTGTATCGATAAATTTTGAAAGGTGTGGTTTAGATTTTCTATTATAATCTCCTGAGCTGGAAAAGATATCGGTTGTTACCTTCTATTTAGATATACCTATATTCTTGATTTGAAGATATCTTGTGAATGACGGAAGAGAAAATTGACGAAGCCAATGCAATCATCATATTTACAGACAATCACAAATTTACTGCCGACTACAAGCTACAACACAAACGTATAGATTATCAGGAAACATAGCAATGTACATATAAATTATATATTACAATATTAATAATATTATAATAAACATACGGCTGCACCATCTACTCCCTGTACGTCTTTCTGGGATTATATTTCATTTAGTCTGTAAAAATTGCCTACAATAGAATAAAGGACCGAAGCATCTGGTAAATAAAATATAGTTATTAATCCGTATCCTCGCAACTAAAGTCAAATATATCGAAACTACTACGATATAGTAAAATATTAAGCGGCAACACTCTATTTATGCCTAGAAGTCTGTTTGGATAACTATCTAACTCTTTTACTAATTTTTGCCGCCAAGTTATAATGTCCTCCAGACCGAATTTCGGTCACGGCGGCCAGCCTCAACGGAGACTTGCCATCGGCGCAGGACAGGATTATAGTGCCCAAGTGTATGCGCAAGCACAGGTGCACTCTCTATTCCCTCACTCTCATAATCCGATGGGACGGTAAACCGACACGACCGGAGAGAAGATCAAGCTCAGGACCAACTGCTTTACGTGCTTTCCGAGGCACGGGGGTGAGACACCGTCAAGTTCCTGACTCCGGGCAGCTACTAAGAATTTCTTGACGACGGAAAAACTCAATAATAGATTTTTTGGCCCAACCCGGGATTCGAAGCCAGGAGGACCTCATGATCAGCTGTCGCACTACTATAAACACTAGAACAACGAGGCAGCCGATAAGTTATAGTGCAAATAGCAGTGCAAGCTGCTGTATTTCGGTCTAAAGGGTATAAGAGACAGCATATTTTTTTATAGTAATTTAATTATAGGCTGTGGCATTCGAGCTTATGCCTCAGAGGTGACAACGCATTTGTAGCTTTTTTTTTAATTGAGACAGATGTCCATGGACCGCAGTAGCCCTAAATATCAAGAGACTGCCAGCTCGTTCGTTTTTTTAAAACTCGGAAAAGCTAATTAAATTGTGTTTGTTACACCAAACGAGTTTTCAAGTGTGTTTTTTTATATACGAGAGGGGGCAAACGAGCATGCGGTTCATCTGGTGGTAAGTTATTACCGTCATCCATGAACAACTGCAACAGTTAATAAATAAGTAATAATTTTATCAAGAAAGAAAGAAAGAAAGATATTTATTTGGCCATTTCTTAACTCATAATTCTTCTAAATTCTTCTAAATACTCAAAACAAACGTTATGTTTGGGTATTCTTATAAGTAGATTTAATTATACACTTACAATGAAAAATAAATCATTTTGACAAAGCAGATAAATACAAAATACATAAAAAAAGTGAACAGCTAACAAAAAAACTTTTTTTTAAATGGGAAATGGTACAAA